GAAAAAATATAAATTGTAGTTTTGAAAGAATTTCATCTAAGTATTTAAAAATTAGTCTTATCTGTGTTATATACTTTCAAGAAACGTGATGTAGCCTTTGAATTGATTCCTTTTTGAGGTTCCTAAACTTTTCTTTCTCAGATTCCAGGAACTGAGGAGAGACAGAGATACGATATTAGATTGCCTAGACTGAGTCTAATCCGCTATAATAATCCTTACATTCTTGGTCATGGGAAGTTTGTCTTAGTTCCAGAAGCAAGATTAATTCTCCTGTTTTCCTAAAGATAAAAGAAGCCATACGTGCCAACGGCTTTTCACACATGTCAAGATGTAGGGCTTGTTTCTAACTGTGCCCTGTCAGTTTTTTTGAAGGTTTTGTGTTGACACAAATCATTTTACGTATTAAGTATTAACAAAATCTAGAGAAAGAAAAAAAGAATGTGATCTCCTGATCTTAAAACTGTTTGGGAGGTCACTGATAAGGAGGTCAGTTTACCAGAGAAAGGGGGTGGGGGGAGAAGTATGATTGACATTCCTATAGAGCTAAAAGGTAGTGCTATTGATACAGAATATTTCCCCTACAATGAAAGAACCCTTTTGCCTATTTTATTAGCTTAATGATAATTCCTTCATTTGTTTTGNTGTTTCAGCTTGTGGCCATTACCCCTCGTCCTATCGCTGGCCACCAGTGAGAACAGCCTGTCCCCTTCCTCCCTGCATTCTCCCTTCCTGAACTTATACATATTAATCATATCCCCTCTGAGCCGCCTCTTCTCCAGAGAAAACAGGCCCAGCTCGCTCAGCCTCTCAATATTACAAAAAAAAAAAAGCAATTAACTTTGTAGCTAAGTGTCTTCGTATCGATGAGTATCAAGGTTAATTTCTGATTTAGTACTTTTCATTTTAGTTATATTATTTCTCTGTAAAGAGATGAATAGATAGGTCTTATATCAAAAGTGTTAATATTTATTTTACACTGTGTTTAATCTTCCATCTTCCTATCATAACTGCTGCCTCAACTACTTTCTGGTTTCCTGTGTTCTGCTAAGCTAATGACCTGCCACTGCTATTGTACTTCTGATGTTTGTGTTAGGGCTCCAAATGGCTCCAAATTGACCTCAGCAGGGTGAGGAATGGGAGGGCTGCACTGTTCCCTGACTCATACTGTGAACATCCATCAAATTAGGAGCACTGTGAGTGGTGGTGGTGGTAGTTGTTTGCGGTTGGATTTTTTTTTTTTTTTTTTTTTCTCTTTCAACCTTAATGCTTTCTGGATAGTATTTAGAATTTTGTTTCATAAATGAGTGGATACATTAAACCTTGTTGGAGAGTTTTAATGTACGCTGTATGTATCGGGATTCAAATAATGCTTGTAGATACCACATGACACTGAAGAGTATCTGGTACCTACAGATTCACCCTTTTTGTTTTTCCAGCACCTAAAGTCTAATTATTACTGTTCTATGTACAGATATTGTACTTGTCTAACATAGCTTTTGAGATTAAATTGAAGGTTTGTAGTAAATCCCTTGGTAGTCTGATTCTTGTTGCATGGTACACAGGCTGAATTTCTTTGATGTGACTAAATCAAAAGACTTCCTGGAGTGCATCTGCTGTACCCCCGCCACTCAGAACGCTCAGTCTGTGGGACCGCAACAGGATTAGCCACAAGTAGCTACATCTTCCTGCTCTTGAGATGCACGTTGTCTGGGCATTGGGTGCTCAGCACCAGCCAGTCTGTTCTAGTTCTTCCTGTTGCACTGCATTGCTAAKGTGGATAAAACTGATTAATAGCAGAGGTAGTTCACTTGCTGAGTAATCTGTATGTTACTTAAWTTAATTAAATGTGATTTGAAAATGGTGATGCATCTTCCTCCAAAAAGGAAGACCACATATGAAACAGCAGAAAATAAAATGGAATATTCTGGAAGAGAAATCCTCCAAACTGTCAAGGGCAAAGTGTAGAAACATATTAGAACATTTACTTATATTATTTAAAAAAAAAAGTACAGAATGAAATACCATAATTTTCCTATGTATACTAATTCACTCTCTGTAAAAATAATCACCATCCAAAATTGTCTTTTATTGGTGAAATAATGCTTTACTTTGTGTGTTGAATACAAGCTAAAAGTATGTATTTTTCTTTTCAGTATTGAATTTTATAGGACTTTGTTTTTATTAATTTTAGTTGACTGTACTTGTCAAAGAGGAAAACAATGCAATTCTGCCTTGAGCCCCTTTGCAGTTCTACTAAGGATGCATTTGGTTGATTTCCTCATGCAATTCCCAGATATTTTAGAGCATCTAAAAAAAAATTGATACCTGCTATTGCTTTTGGTTATCATTCTGTGTTTTGGAGAATACTTGTACGTCTTATTGTTGGCTATTACCAACTGGCTATTTACACTGGAACTGTGTAAAAAAACCTGAAAGCGCAAAATTGAATAGATCTATTTCATTTTCAGTGCATAATTAATCTCATTGACATGGCTTTATATGAACATGGATAAAAATGCATGTAAACCATTGAATTCAACCGCTCATTAATATTGATTAAACGTTGTTGTTCTCTTTGTGCTTAAAACTACTTAAAGATTACCTGCAAAAGTATTACAGTGCTATTGATTTAGAAAAACAAATTCCTGAAGTGTTTTTTTAATTTTTAAATTATTTGACAAGTTTGTTACTTTTTTCATATTGAAGGATGTTTTAGAACTTGCCTGTATAGATATGAGAAGCAGAATATTAATCACATTGTCAGGGAAAGAAATATCCAGCATTCAAAATAATAATGGATGTGGCTTGGGTCCTCTCATCGTCTGACCGCAATATTTAAGTCCATGCCTATCATTTTGGTAGCATTCATGACTGAAACTTTGCCACAATGTCAGTTCAAGACATTTAGACTGTATGAACCTCCACACACATGTATTGTGTCTTGGTTATGGTGATCCTGGATATGAAATTATATGGGCTTAAGTGCCCTGAAGAATCTAGGCCTTAACCTTATAATCACTCCATTTTAAACATGAGCACTTGCAGATAGGTCTGGCCAGTGTCTAGTTAAAAATGAATGTTAACTAATATAAACTAGATCATCTTCATTACAGTACATTGAACTGAAAATCAGTCAAAACAGTATTCATGTAGTTTCTGTTTTTTCAGAAGGAAAGCATCATAGAAGACTAACTAAATACTAGCATGCACCAGTACATGTATTATTTTGCTCCTCAGGCCTGTAAATGTCTGTACTTTTGATCTGAGGGAAGTGATGAGCATGTGCTCAACAAGCCATACGGAGAAATCAGGAAGCAAAATGAGAAGGCAGTGATTAAAAGACGTATTGTTCTTGGAAGATTGGGGGATCTGTTTGCACTGATATAATTATCATATGAAGCTACATGTAGGTAATTGCCAAACTGCAACACTGTGTTAGAATCTGGAAGAAAATACATTGTTCTTTGGCACAGGGAGACACAAGGAACAAATTAAAAAAGGGCATGCTTCTCAAAAGAAGTTTCAGAGTATTTGTGTTTTGTTTATTCACCTCAGTGGGATGTATCTCATGTTTAATGATGTGCACAAGCATAACAAGGAGTATGACCTGGGTAAGGATAATGACATAAGTTGTAATAGAAATGTGTACATAGATTCCTAAACTGCTGTAACACTCTGGGCAATTATAATTGTGGAATATGTTCTGATATCCCTTATCATTTTGTTAATTCATATGTTTTGTAAATTAATATTTTCTCATCATAGTTTTCACTATTGTGACATTCTGAAAGAATGCGGTAGCTCTGAACATCTGTCAAACCTTGCATTTGTAATTGAAAACATAGACTAATAGGCAGGCTCTCAGAAACATTAAACTTACAGCTCTTTTAAGTTTAAATCATTCAATTCCCAGTGCTGATTGTCAGTAAATTATGCTGTGGAAAGAAATTCTTTTCTAGAGTTTTTTGAAAAATGTGATTTTAATTGGATGAATACTTCTGACATTACATTTCAATAAATGAAGATTAACATCTCTGTGTGTACATGGCAAATATTGCAAATAACTTACTTTATTTCAAACTCATAAATCTTTTAGCACACAAACTTGTTTCAACACAATGATTACCACTTCTTTGAAGTGTGATTGTAGAAAGTATTTGTCAAATGCTAAAATGTTTTGTTGTGGTAGAATGTTTGTTACAGATGAATATATGAAGATGGGAAAATCTTTTAATAAGTGCTGTTAAAATAATAAATTTTAGAATTCAGTTGAAGATATAGTATTACCTGGAGGCTTATATAATAATTATGAAATTAGCATATCTTACATTTACAAAAATTTAGATCACTACCACAGCACTTGAGCAGACTTTAGCTGATAACAGCAAACAGAAAATTTTAGATCTCACTGTAGAAATTAAAGTTTTTGTAGTGTATGGGCAGTTGAAAAAAGTAATTGAGTTAGAAACTTTTTGGAAGGAGTATGAAATGGATATGCCAAAAAGGCACTAAGTAAAAAAATATAAAAAAGAATAACTGGTTAGTAATCTAATTACTGAGATGGTCACATAAGCAGAAAGTCACATAAAGCTGTAGCAAGAATCTTTTCTGTCTGTTAACTTGCCACATAGTGATTACTTCAGGATATTGTAGGTGTCACTCCTACGTGATAGGTACATTTGATTAATATATATTGCCGCAGTGGTATAATAGTTAGAATGCCTGTTATCTTCAATAGGAGAGCAAGATTTAGCTTCTCTATCTCCTGCCTTCTCTTGCATTAAAAAATAATGTTGTGATTAATGAGTAGTGACATGTTTCACATTTTTTTTATGTTCATAAAAATCCGTGCTGTCAAGTTATCTGAAAGAGTAAAGGATTTATTCTAGTGGGTTGGTGGAATACAACAATCTACATATGTAATTTAATTTAGTGAAAACATGTGAATAACTGAAATTATTGTTATTATAAATGTATATACTTTTTCTTTTATCTCTTAGGACCTTGCATTCCTAATCCATGTCATAATGGTGGGACATGTGAAATTAGTGAAGCATATCGAGGTGATACATTCATAGGATATGTTTGCAAGTGTCCAGAGGGATTTAATGGGATTCACTGCCAGCACAGTAAGTTTCACATAATAACTTTTGTTGTATTTATGGACCAAAAACTTCTTAAAAGCTAATAATGTTGAGGTTCAACATTGACTCTTGATTTTTTTGAAGTATATTGTCTTTTGTCACCAGACTAGTGCTATTAGCCTTWAGAAAATGACTTCTGACTTGCTGGGTAACACATCAGCAGGAAAGAAAGCAAAAGTGTCTAATTTGTTTGCAYGTTCTGAAGTATGATAAAGAATGAATACCATGCTTAATTTGATTTAATTGAAAAACAGTATCTGAGATAGTAGAGATCTGTTTCGCTTGGAATTGCTAATGGTTTCATTTTGATAAATGACAGCAGAAAACAGAACAGATCACTGAATATAAATCTGTGTATAAATGCTTTCCAGATCTTCCTTTGTCTCTGTTTAAAAAGAAAAAAAAAAATGCTATTATTTTCCTTGAATCTATACAAAAATCCAAGGGTAGAAGTTTAAAATTTAACAAGGATACACTTTTAAAAATCATATTTTAGATATAATATCCAGACCTCTTTCATATTCAGACTTTTGAATAGTTTCTCCTGGGATTAGTTTGTGAATAATAGGTTGGTGTCAGCTGCATTTTAAGAGTATGCAGGTATAAAATTGGAAACTAACAATATTTAAAAAGAAAAATGATGCCACAAATACTTCTTGGGGGATTTTATAGTGATATCTGCACTTCACTTATCTAAAATACTAAAAAATAAATGTTTCCTTTTGKTATGATTATACATGAAATTGCAGACCCAGGTTCCCTCAGTTAATGTCATTAAAGGACTATATTTTTAAAAGCTTGTTAGTAGAAGTTCTGCATTTCCATTGGCAAGTGCATCTCCATTATCTGTTGATAACTTAAATAGAAACTCTATTTTTTTTCCTGTGTAAAAGTTAATTAGAACAAGAGCTTGCCTAMGGAGCCACTTAAATGCCATATTTCTGATTTATTTTGTGGGTTAAAGCACAGCATGTTTCTGCATTTTAAAAGCCATCTGTAAAGCAGGTTAAAAACTCAAACGTTTGACAATCTAGACTGGTAGTTCCATTGGTAGGTAAAAGATAGGTAAAARATGAATCAGTTTATCAAAATATTTCAGAATAAACACTGAATCCAGTCTACCTCAGTTAAGTGCTTCATTTTAGTTACTTGAAGGAACCAATACAGTCCAAATCAAATAACTCATGTTCATTGTGTACCTTGTATACTCAGTGGAAGAGGAAAGTTTCTCCAGAGACTGCTTGTGTCTGCCATTCGTGTCCTGTCATATGAAGGCACTTGCAGAAGAGCACAATTGTGTGACCTCATGTTTTCATCCATGCTTTGTCGTAAGGCCAGATGTGTAGTGAACATGTGACGCACAACACTTCTACACTTCTGCCAAACAAATGACCATTGTTAAGTAGGCAAGAAAGTGAGTGTTTCTCTTCAAAATGTTTTCATTTGTTTGTGCCAGATAATTGGCTCAAAGACGGTGTGGTGTTTACTGCCATTAGCACCACAAATTTGCCTCAAGCAAGATGGATGCATAATATGTACTCTCCAGAAAATATCATATCTGTTACTTTAAACAATAACAAAAAAATTAGTCCGCTATGGAAGGATTCATTGTAACCRTCTATCAAGTATCCTTTTTCAAGTATACAGATATGTAGCAATTAGTTAATGTAATCCAGGTAATCAAAGTGCATTTATACCATCTGCAGAATAAAGCAGAATTCTTTCAGGAAGTTGTTATATCCACTGTGTAAAAATTAGAAACAAACATATGTAATGTGATTACAGATAAAGCTGGTTTACGTAAGAAGTTAACTCTTTAGGGGAGTGTGAAATTCACTCTTTTTTCAGAGAACTTGTTTTAAGATGTGATAATAAATCAAAAATATGTACATACTCAGAAGATCTTAGAGGGTSACAGCAATTAAAACAGTAGAAAAAGTATCCATAATCGGGAAGAAATACAGTGATGTATTTTATGTGACACTWTTATCTGACATCACTTTAACTTACTTCACCAAACTCCTTTTATTCAAACTCTTCTGCTTCATGAGGTTCAGAAATTCRGTTCTAAACTAGCTGTACGTTATGTAGGAAGTCTGTCAAAGTAGTTCCAGCATAAAGGGGTAAATTAAAATGACCTCATTGCAAGACATGTGTCTTCATCTAAACTCATTGAGATTTCAAAAAAAATCACTTTATAGTTCTGCAGTGCTTTTATCTTTGATTTCTTTCATGTCTAATATTTTGCTAAATCAGATAAGCTAGATAATTGATATTTTTGCAGTCATGATACATTCCCAAAGCTGATATTCTGTTCACATTAGCCAACATCCCATCAATATTTCTGAGATCCCTTGACCTTTTGTCCATGTAAATGATGAATATGTAAATTATAAAGGATAATTAGCAATTTCACTGACTACATATTGAAAATTTATTGGAAAACTTAGACCAGCTGGTAGTGGTTTTCTCAGTAGTTTGATTCCTCTGTGGCAAAAAATGGAAACAATGCATTCCAACTGAAGATTCTGATTTCTGGCCTCTTAAAATAATTAACATTTGGATAGGAAAATCTGCCCTGGATACAAATTTGGGGAGATTTTCATGGTGGCAGTGAAGAAGCAAAGTCTGAGAGAGCTGGGACTCTTCTTCCTGGAGAAAAATGAGGGAGGATCTTATCAATGTGTATTAATAYGAGGGGAGAGTGTAAGGAGGAACATACTGACCATAAATCTGACCTAAATTCCACAGAACAACTCAGACCCATCAATATTCTAGGATGTAGAGTTTGTGTGATACTATTTCGTAAGAGTGTTAAATCATTTTTTCTTGATGTTCCCTTTGACTGAAATCCATRTAAATGCAACGTGCTGTCATCCATCTGAAATGAGCATGTGATTATAGGGTGGTAATTCTAAGTCTGGTCATTTTTTTTAACATCGAACTTTTACAAAGTCCATCTTTAGAGCTTTTATTAGAGAGAGAGACAGACAGGGAGAGACAGGAGGAGGGGGAAGAGAATAAAGATCTACTGTTCATCATCTAATGTTAAACCATTTACATTATAAACTTTATTAATTGCTTTTCAATACTGTAGGTGCAAATGCTGGTCTGGGAGCTTATGTTTTGGTAATAAATACTGTCATGTACATAGAGTGGGATTATATTGTCATCCACAATAACACCTTAAAAACAGAACCTTAAATTCTCTTAGAACAAGTCAAAATCTATTGGGAGGATCCAAGTGGAGAGGTTTCCACATCCTACATTAGATAATCCAGGTTCTTTTCTGAACAGAAATTAGTGATACAAAGTATGTTATTTGTGATGATCAGAGAGAGAGATTTCCTTTAGAAAAGTACAAAACTGAGGCATGAGGCTGCAACTAACTGAAATGAGARAGTACCCCATCAGAAAAAAAATTGTGTGAAACACGACAAAGTGCAGATTTAAGAATTTGGTTAAGATGTGATTTTATAGTTTGACCATCAGACATATATCAAGTTTTGTACTCTCAGAAAATTAAGCTTTATTAATCRAACACATTTAGTCATTTCTGCAAGCTCTTTCCATTGCAGAGTTTTTGGCTTTCTGCCTCGACAATGCAGATAATCAATTATATTTAGATCTGCCACGTTAACATCTTCTGAAACGGCCCAGATAGGCAAGGCACACAACCACGCAGCTTTTGATGGTATATTGAAACCTTGTTCCCCTTAGGCTGTTTGCTTGCCTGTGCATGGACTAGGGGTTCATAGCCCATTGGAAGGGCCTGTGTCACCTATGTCAGACTCAGACAAGATGCTGGGTAACCTGTAGCTGTAACTTTATCATCAGAGTCTACTGCAGCAGCTCTTCCATTTACTGGGCTAAAATATATGTGAGAGGAAGATATGAGAAAATGATGTGGTGTGGATTTCGTGCCTTACAAGGAATTGTATATCCCAGGCTGAAGTTTGCTGGGTGAAAAAAATCCTGAAACTGCTCCCCACAGGCAAGCTGAAAGCAGTTGTCATCTTCTGGAGGCTAAATAAGATTGTATCTGTTCCAAGCCATCTGTCCTCCAAGCCAATTGAGCGACTTTAGTTTACAAAGATAGATAAAGCTTCACACAACCAGGTGAACTAAGCACCAAGACTGTTCCTTGAATTCTAATTCTAACTTAGAATTTCATTTTTTTCTTTTTTCATTTAGGTTTCMTTTTTTTTCTTTTTTTCTTTTGCTGTCGAAGTTAGACATATATATACATTATGTGAATTACAGTGGTAAATTCCCTAGGACTTAATTATGTGGGCAAAGCTTTCAAAAATAAAAATCAAATAATGTGTGTCTAAGCTTTATTGAGATGAAGTCTGAAAACTATTCCTGCCTTGGCCTGTTTGCTTAGATAAGAAAAAAAAGAAGGGCAGGTATATTCTTTTTTGTTTAGGAACCTTCTGGTACTTGGCTTAATTAAAACAAAAGAGAAATTAATTAGCTTGATAGAAATCTGTGAGAGATGACTGGAAGGAAGAAAAGTCAATTAAATGTTTTTTTCCTTAAACGTGGTAAAAGGAGGAAAGATACAGAGCATTGAAATGCCAGAAATTAGAACATCAGAAGTGTGAGGTGATGGAAGGAACCTCTAGCAAGTGCAAGAGAGGCAGCACAGCAGATATTTGCTCCTCTCACATAAGTCCAGAAAGTCTTTGTGTGTCTTAGATAAATGCTCTAATGAGGTAAAACTTGCCTAAACAAATATCTAGCAATATTGAACAAGTGACAAGGATTTTCAAGCTATTGAGTAGGGATTTTTTTTGTTTAAAACCCTAACAGCCACTGCTTTGACCAAGATAGTTGAGATGGGACTGCCTAAGGCCTGGAGAGAGAAAGCATTAAATATCAGGAAGAGGCCAACACCAGAGGCTTTACAGGAATGTTCAGGACACCCCCAGGATGAAAATACAGGGCACAACTTACCCCCTACTGAAGGTTTTAGCCCGATC